GTGTCTCTGTCTGTGTATCTCTCTCTCTCTCCCTTCCCCTCTTTCTTTCTTTTGAGAAAAGACTCATTGTGCAGTTCAGGCTGGCCTTGAACTCACTTATGTAGCCCAGGCTGGCCTCAGACTCACAGCAATTCTTTTACCTCAGCCTCCCGAGTGCTGGGATTACAGGTGTGCATCACCACGCTCAGCTTTCTTTTGTTTACAGAAATGTTTGTGGAGAAATAACCACATTTTCCAAAATGAACATAATTAGAAGAATGATATTGCTTTGCTTTTTTTGTGTGCCTCTTGAATGTCTGGCTGAAGGGAAGCCTCCCACTTCTGCAGTCTCTGTGACAGCTCGGTGACACTGAAAGATGCTACGTATCGTATAATGTTGGGGGAGTGAGAACAAGATAGATGACACCTTCCTATACTGGGACAATTGTGAGTTTGTGAAGCCTAAAAGGTCCCAGAATTCCCTAGAGAGTGAAAGCAACTGAGAGTTTTAAAGAATTTTCCATGTTATAATGGGTCTCTGGGCCTTTGTTTTCCCAAAATAAATCAATGGGAAGGCCAAGGAGGAGGTGAAAAAAAAGGAGGTGAGGGAGGAGAGAGGAAGAGGTGAAGGGAAGCAGAGAAAAAATGGGAAGAAGAAAAGAGAAGGAAAGAGGAAGAGGAGCAGAGGACTGAGGGCAGGAGGAGGGAGCGGCTACCTGCCCAGTGGTGGGACATGTTGGTGATGCTGAGGCTGGCCTGGCCCTGGCTGAAGTTCAGGGACACCTGCGTCCCTGACCGCAGGGAGATGCGTTTGTCACTCTCTGTACGTCTCAAGTACCATTTCAGGTTGGTGGCGTTGTAGGTCGTGAGCAGAGTCAGGTTTAGGTTGTTACCTGGCATCTGCAGCTGGGAGTTCAGGGTCAAGTTCCCAGGAACTGTGGGGACAGAAGACAGGGGTGGAGGGGGAACTAAAGGCCCTCTTGCAGCTAAGCAACCCCTCCCTCCCCAGCCACGCCTGGAACTGTTGGCAATCCTCCTGCCTCAGCCTCCCTTGTGCTGGAATTACAGGTGTGCACCACCATGCCTGGCTCTTTCCCTGTCTTCTGAAGTCCATTCTTTTCCTGCTCCCAGCTTTTCTCTTGTCCCTGGGTAGGTATCTGAGCAAGGCTGCTGCAATCCAGCCTGGAAGACCCTACCACTGGGAACAGAAGATGGACCCTTTCTGGTGACTTGGTGCTACTAGAGCTGCCTCCTGGCTTCCTGCGCTAGAAAACAAGGTTGCTGTAGCACTTTCTCTTGTCTGTGTGGCTCTGGGGCCTCATTCATCAGTCTCACTCTTCAGGGCCCAAGCTCAGGGTCAGAAATCTGCTGTGACACTTGGCTTTTCTGCCCATCCAGAGGAGCAGGGGGCCTCGGGCCAGCTGGCCGAAATACAGGTTCAGAGAACAAAACGGAAAGCTCCTCTTCCACTAGTTTCCAACCTTCCTCACCAGGTGGCAGCAACTGGCAGTAGCCGGGGACAGAATGGCTGAAGATTTGACAGTCACAGGGCTGACCACTGTGGCGTTGGGAAGGGCAGGCCTTGTTGCTGGAGCAGAGATGGGCACTCCACTGGTATCCAGGGCGGCAAGCACAGTGGCTGTGCCCCTTGCGGCTTACATTACATTCTGTGACAGACACAAAGGGAGCGACAACTGAGCAGGCTGTCTGAGAAAGCCAGGAGGTGGGACCAGCAGCCTCCCGCTGCCTGACAGCTTCAGGGTTGGGTGTCAGGACCAATCCTGCAGGGCCAGGGGCCCCATCACACTCACCGTCAGCAACCCCCTGCGCCAGGGCTCAGAGCAGAGGCTGGGGTGGGGTGGGAAAGGCGGGGCCCACACTGCCTGTTCCTTAGACAACAGGGTGCGAGCAGGAAGGGAGGGGCCTGTCTGGTAGGGAGGTGAGGAAGGAGCTGGACCAGGGAGCAAGAATCAGGGGTCAGGGAGGGGCTCCCAGCAAGCTTGGCCTCATTCATTCTGAGCCCCCTTCCCACCACTGCTACCTGTTGTGATGCTAAGGCCCGTGAGAGTTCTTGGGGAGGAAGCAGCCGAGGCAGTGGGAAGAGTCAGGGCCCTGTGGTGTGCCAGCGAGCAGGTCTTGTCCGAGAATTCCAGTTGCACATAGACAGAGACCAGGACTGAATCTACAGAGGAGAGGGCAGCTGCAGAGGAGCGGCAGCAAGGCCTCCCATACCCAGCCGACCACTTCTGGGACCTGGAGCAGATCCTCTTCCTGGCCAGGTACCTGTGGATGTGGGACGGCAATAACTCCTGCCCTAGTTGGGGTATGCGGCGTACTCCCACACCCCGCGCTGCAGAGGAGGCTCCCAGAGATGAGCACGTTTCTCCAGGCCTCAAGCCAGATAACCGGTGTAGGGACATGTCTGTTCTTTTTCCATTCTACACCCTTGGGCACTGCCTCCCAGTCCTTTCTTTGTACCTCCCTCCTTCGCTGCTCCCACCTCCTCCTCTGCTTATTCCTCTGCCTTGTCCATCACTCACCCCCTGCTCCACTCTTGTGGTCCAGCTGCTGTCCGGGTCCCTCTCCAGCCTGACCTTGAACCTGGAAGAGAGCACAGAAAAGAGCTCTGGGGAGACACCAGCCCCAAGTTCCTCCCGGGGTCACTTCAAGGACGGCCTGCCTAGTCTGGCATGACTTGATGTCGTGGAAGCTCTGCTTTTTGCCTGAAATCAAGAGTACACATCAGAAAAGGAAAACAGGCTTCCAGGAGGGGTTGCAGGAGAGGCCCTCAGGACCTGGCAGTCTCACCTAAATCAGGAACCAGGCACACCTTGGGGAGTCAACATGCTTTGCTTAGCTCCTTCCTGAATTTACCTGTCCCTGGGCCTCTAGGCTAATCACAGTGGTTGAGTTTGGAGCTCTAGCAGGAAGGTTAGGCAGAGTTGGCTGGGGCACAGGGGTCTGGGGACTTTATTTTTTCCGTGGGATTTGACATGAAGATGAGCCTTTAGTTTCTTGTAAATCGCGTCCTCACCAACTCCTTCCTCTCTCCAAATTGCATGTGCTACTCTTCTAAAACCAGGCTGATACACAGTCATGGATAAGGTATGGATAGATTTAGAGATTGGTAAAGATACAGATGTATATGAAAATGGATGGAGATACTGACTTAGATTCAGAGATAGACTTAGAGATATAGATGTTGATATCTTTGCAGGAGAAGATGGATTAAAAAGTACTGATTGTGAAAAAAAAAAAAGTACTGATTTAGGCTCTGTTGACTTCCCTTAGATTCTCCCTCATCCTTTTTGCAAGTAACTCCCAAATATGGAAAGTTTTTCATTTTATTTTTCATTTTTAAGTTGCTGGCATGTTCAGAAGAGTCTTCATCTACAGTACAGCAGGGGTCATCGGAGCTCACAGGGACTCAAGTACAGAAAAGAAAGCTACGCCCCACTCCCGGACAGGAAGGCAGAACACTCTGAAATCCTGCAACACGCTCAGAGATCCTATCACAAGCTGGCCCTTTCCTTCCCCTGTCCTATCACCCCACCCCTTGCTGCCTCTCACAACCAGAGGCCCCTCTTGTGGCCTCTGGAGACATCTCCAGTCCTCATCCCAGTCATACTCACAGGCTGGGACGTTGGGGCGACCGCTGATCCCAGCAGGAAAGTCACGGCCAAGAGCAGCCGGGGAGCAGCCGGACAGACCATGGCTCGGTGGCGCTGTCCCGAGGAGTCCTCCTACTGCAGCATGATGCAAATTCCTCTGCAGAAGAGCTGCAAGGCAGTGCACAGATGGCGTGGGAGGGAAGAGGGGAGCCAGGGCCCAGGTGATAGAGGAAGTGCTTCAGCCTGTGTCAAATGGAGATCCGGGTCACCAGGGCCACCTGGAGCCCGTGTGCCCCTGTAAAAGCCACATGCCAAGGAGCCCCTTGGGGTCTGGACCAAGGACTCTGGGAGTGAAATGGGTGGCAGGGGTCATAAGTCATAGCAGTGTGTCAGTAAGCCAGGTTCAGCCGTGCTCCCGGTGGCCTGAGAGTCTGGATTGTTCAGGGATCTGGATCACTCCCTGGCCAACAAACCAAAGCTAGAGAAGGAAACGACGACAAAAAAAGGAAAAAAAAAAAAATTAGAGCTGTTGCTACGTATAATAATTCCCAGATAGTCTTTTTTTTAAAAAAATGGTACCAAAGTTTTATTAAAGGTAGAAAAAGAAACAGCCTCTGTGGACCAAGTTTGGGCCAAGTAAAAGTAGGAAAAGAAGTACACCCTATAGCATGAGGGCGGGCCACCATGCGGGAGAACAGAGAGGCCTCCAGATAGTCTTCTTAAACGTTGCTTATTTTTATTTTTATTAGGAAAACTTTGTAGTGCACAATGAGTACATTCCTTATGAGGGTTTGGTACATGTACACAGCACAAAGCAATTATTCATCCCCTTGCCCTCCTCTCACTCTCTCTCTCGGTCACTTTCCCATTTGCAAAAGGTCTAGCTCTCTGTTTCCTATTATCTAGCATTTATTCTGTTCCTTAATTTATTTATATTTTGAGCTTCTCACATAAAGAGAAACTATGCAGCATTTAAGCTTGTGTGTCTGATTTATTTCATTTACCATGATCTCAAAGTACATCCATTTTCCTATAAATGACTCAGACTTATTTTTCTTTATGGCAGAGCAATACTCCACTGTATATAAATACCACATTTTCTTTATCCATTCATGTGTTATGTACATATAGGTTGCTTCTACAATTTAGCTGTTATGAGCTGGTCTGCTTTAACCAGGGGCATGCATGTGTCACTGTAATACTGTCTTTACTCTTTTAGGAAGATACCTAGAAGAGGAATAGCTGGGTCAGATGGTATTTGTATTTTTTGATTTTTGAGTAATCTCCATACTGTTTCCCATAGTGGTTGTGCTAGTTTACATTTCCACTAACAATATAGAAGGATTCTTTTTCCTCACAGTTATGCTAGCATTTGTTATTATTTGATTTCCTGATGATAGCTATTCTTTCTGGAGTAAGATGGAAACTCAATGTTGTTTTTTTTGATTTGTATTTCTCTGAAGCCAGAGATGTTGAATATTTTTTCATATATTTATTGGGCATTTGTACTTTTTCTTCTGTGAGGTATGCCTGTTCATTTCAGTTGCCCATTTTTTATTGGATCATTTATGTTAGGGGTCTCATTTTTTGGAGTACTTTGCATATTCTAGATATTAGTCCTCAGTATGAAGCGTAGCTGGCAAAAGTATTTTTCTGTTCTGTAAGTTACATCTTCATTCCGTTGGTTATTTCCTGTGATGTGCAGAAGGTTTTTAATTTGATGTGATCCTGTTTATTTATTCTTGATGCTATTTCCTGTGCAACTGGCGTTCTGTTCGGAAAGTCCTTGCCTACGTCTATGTTATCAAGAGTTTTACCAATTAAGTTCCCAGAGATTAAGTGTTTCTTCTACATAAAGATTATGTCATCTTTTAATATTTAGGTCTTTCATCCGTTTTGATTTTAGTTTGCTCCATGGTAAAAGGTACGGGTCTAGATTCAATTCCTTCATGTGCACAGCAAGTTTTTCCCAGGGCCATTTGCTAAAGAGGCTGTCTTTCCTCCAGTGTTTGCTTTTGGCCCTTTTGTCAAGGTTAAGATGGCTGAATGTGCCTGGGTTGTTTCTGCATCCTCTGTTCTGTTCCATTGATCACATACCTATTTTTTGTGTCAGTACCATACTGTTTTTTAAAAAATCACTATAATGGCTGGGATTTAGCTCAGCGACATAGCACCAGCCTGGCAAGCCTGAGGCTGTGAGTTTGATTCCCAGTACAAAAAAATACTTAATAAAAATCACTATAGCTAATATATCTTGAAATTTGAGATTATAATGCCTCCTGGTTTGCTCTTGTTGCCCTTGATAGTTGGATTTTTTTTTTTTTTTAAGAGAGAGTCTTGCTATGTAATCCAGGCTGGCCCCAAACTCACAGTGACTCTCCTGCCTCAGCCTCCTGACTAGGGATTACAGGCATATGCCACCATGCTTGACACCAGCCCAGGATTGCTTTTGCTATTCTGAGTCTCTTCTGGTTCCATATAATTTTAGGATTGTTTCTTGCAGTTCTGTGAGGAATGATGTTGGTATTTTGATTGTAATTGCATTAAATATGTATAACAGCTTTGGAAGCATGGCCATTTTGACAATGCTCATTCTGCCTATCCAGGAATATGTGATATTTTTCCATTTTCAGATGTCCTCTTCAGTCTCCTTTTTAAGGCAGTATAGTTCTCCCTGGAGACATCTTTCACTTCCATGGACAGGTTAATTCCTAAGTATGTAATTTTTCTTCATGCTATTGTGAATGGTATTGCTTTTCTAATTTCTTTCATAATGAGTTCAATATTTGTGTACAGGAAATGCTATTGATTTTTATCAATTTTGTATCCTGCTACTTTGCAGAATTTGTTTATTACTTCTAGAAATCTTTTAGTGGATTCTTTGGGTCTTCTATATAAAAGATTATGTCACTTATGAATAAGGATAGTTTGACTTTTTCCTTCCCCATAAATATTTCCTCCCTTCTCTTAAAATTCCTTCTTCTTGCCTGATTGCTCTGGCTAAAGTTTTGAGTACTTTAACAGGAGTTAAACAGGAGTAGTGATAGTGGACATCCTTATTTTATTCCTGGTTTTAGAAGAAGAGCTTTTGGTTTTCTGTCTTTTTTTTTATTTTAAA